AATATATATATATATATATATATATATATATATATAATGCAGTTGTTGTCGTGGGAATTTGTAATTTCACGAAAGCAAATAATAATAATAATGAGATGCACGCGGCAAGGGGAAGGCAACAATGGGAGGATGTGCCGTTATTTCTCTCCTTCCTCAACTTTCAAAGAAGAGAAAAAAATTTGACACAGATGACACATTGTGAAAAAAAAAAAAGAGGGATGGAGAAACACGCATCCCAACAAGGCTCAAGGAATCCATCACTCACGTACAACTAACTAGAGGATAATGTTTGTCACAGCCTCGACTCGCAACCGTATTCCTTCACAAAATCTTCCGTCACAGTTGCGGCCAGTTGAGCCGCTAACTCAAAGGCAGAGAGTCCTACAGCCCGCACATCCGTCGCCTTCCGCGCATTGGCGGGAATCGCCACCGATAGGCTATACTCCAGACGGGGATCCTCCTCCTCGTCGCGAAGAACAATGAGGGGCTGCCGCTTTATCTCCCGCACAGTGACCTTCACGCCCTTATCAGTCACCTTTTCAAAGAGACGCGTTTCATCCTCCGAGAGGTAAACCAACTGGCCGTGCTCTGAAGGCAGCACGTCTGAGACATCATCTTCAGAGAGCTGAATGATGGGTACCGAGGCAAACATTTCCACCTCTTGTCGACGCAGTGGAGGCCTTGAACGAAGCAGCAAGCGGATATCCGGTCCACGGGCATGCGTGCACCAGGCGGTTTGCACATTTACCCAGGTGCCATTTACAGATAATACCTTCCCCTTATTATCCAGTTCAACTTGAAGTTGATCCCTCGCTCGCTTCACAGTTCCGCTGTACGTGAGCTGAGCCCCCTTACCAATCGGCGTGAATCCCTCAGGCTTCAGCAATTTTTCCTCTATTTTGTGAACACAGGACTCTGGTAGTGTGGAGACCCATGTGTATGGATGATTCAACTGCATCCGTTGCTGAAGCGTGTATGATGAAACAATGGAACGATTCTTCCGCATGACAGATGGCTGTAAAAGCAGTTTACCAAAGTCCAAAAACAATTCCCCGTCCATCTGAAGGTTGCTCATATTTAAACAGCACCATTGAAGTACTTTGCTGTACCGAGAACGCAGCGCTACATCCTTTTCAGATGCACTCAAAGTGTAGCATTCTGTGTTTGCTGGAAACCCTGGAAAGGCGGTGGTATTCACACGTGACACCACCACATCTGCTGCAGTATTACTAACAAGCAGCTGAAAGGCCTTGGGAGCCATGTTTGCAGATCCCTCGTAAAAGCCTGCCTGCGCAAGGTCCAAAAGTGTTTCCGGCTGCATCACGGTGGATTGACTCCACCGACCGTACCCACCCTGCTGCGGCTGCTGTTGCACCTGACCCCCATGCTTGGCGGTAGCGTCTTTGGAGTGGAGGAACTCTTCCACCTGCCGCACAACCACTGCCTTCTTCGCCGAGGGATCAGTCCGAACCCCGGAGCGAGCGAGAAAACCCTGTAGCTGCATCAAAGAAAGGGAGAACAGGTTCCCCTCGTTCCACAGTGCCCAAACCTTCTCAGGTGACACAGTTTCCGCATTGGATACCTGCTGGTCCATCATGTTGGCGGCCGTGCGCTGCACACCGCCTTGGTGGTGTCGACTGACGGCGACCACAGAAGAGGGCACAATAATAGAATGCCGTAATAAACGAAGCATGATTCAGTAATGTACTTGGTTTTTTCCTCTTTTTTTTCTTTTTGGTTGTATTGTTTTCCCTTAATTACAATCCTAACTTTTTGGGTGCTGGTAATGCTGGATGCCCTTGCCACCTCGTCTTTTATGTGGGCAAAGTGCGTGTCTCTTTGCTGCTTTCTCTTCTGCAGTCAATTCGCTTTCGTTTCTTTGCTTGTTTGTTCCCTACAATGTCTGTGGCTACTCCCCTCGCCGTCGTTCCCCGTCGCTTCGGGGATTTGGTGGTTTTTCTTCTGGCCGCTACGCCCACACGCAGACACGCACACAGAAAAAGAGAAATAGAGGTGGTGGCGAAGGCACGTTGGAGAGATAGACACACGCAACGTTTTCTCTCGTCGACTGGCAGAAGGCGCACACACATTTACACACATGCCCGCTCGATGACGGCGAGGCCTTGCATCTGTGCCTGCGTATCCCCCAGTCCGATGGAGCAGCGGCGGCACGCCACCGAAACAGAGAGAAGCGAAACAACAAATTAACATCAAAGAAAGACACATGGCAAAGTCACACCAAATGAATATGGAAAAAGTTGATGGGAAACCAAAATTCACTGGAGGAGGAAAGAGCCAAGTGTTTAAAAGCCAAAAACAAAACAACCGTGACACAATACAAGCAGCATCACACAACAAAACAAGGAAGAAAAAAAAAAAAGTTGAACCTTCTGTATTGATTGGTTGCGTCGCATCTCTATGTCAGGCATTGTCGGTTTACCCATTTAACCCATTTTTTCTGTGCAAACATTATCTACTCTTCCTTCTTCACTTTGTGCATCTCTCTTTTTCTTCTTCTTTTGTGTTTCTCTACAACAATGTCCTCTGCTTCATCACACAATATTTGCCTTGCAGCACACCCATCTTACCTAACGCAGGCCAATGCGTTGGAGAAACTGTTATGGCCCGGTATTCTGCCGAGCCAGGTAGTGCGGGAAGCAACTCTAAAGAAGATGTGAGAACATTAATAATAATAATAATAATAATACCCCCGTGCGTAGCGCAGGAAGTTCATATCCGGGAATCAAGTTGCACGTTTGTGCCTACCTACGTCTGTACGTATGCGTACATGTATAGATAGGCGCACAAATACTAAAAGGCAAAGGACACGGAGAGAGAAAGTGTGCATTGTTTCTCTCCGTGTGCGCGTGGGAAAGAAATATAGACGTTGCAGTGTGAGACCAAAAAAAAAATAATAATAATAATAATAATAAAACTCTCGTCCCAGAGCAAAACAAAACCATATATATATATATATTAGTACCATCTATAGTGTCACAGGGGACTGCGTGCGTGTGTACGTGTTCTGAGGGGGGAATAACTCCGTGACCTCTTCTTCATACTCGGCTCCACATTTAGCAGCAAGTGGGCGTGTCAAAAGGCTGGCGGGCTCTGCCCAAGATGACCTTTCCGTTACCCCACCTGCTATCGTGCTCTCTAAGCATTCTGCAGCTGTAAAGCTCTCATTTAAACAGCGTGATACGGGTCGGGTTGCGGTTGGTGGTAAGTGTTGCAGTTGCCTCCACGCATGGTCCTCATGAGTTTGCGCCAGCAACTCAAATTTATCACTTGGTGTACGGCAGCTTAGGCAGTGGCAGTGGCCATCATCGTTACGCTTTTGTTGGCTTGGCGACGCAGTCGCTTGAGGAACGTGACGCAACTCATGATAGTAATGCTCCAGACTCGCTGGTATACCTGCAAAGTCAGAAATGATTTGTCCAATCGGCGTATTGAGGCCTTCACACCCTTGCGACTTGGAGTCGGCATAGAGCAATTGCTGCTTACGACAATAAGAGGGATGCTGCAGCGTCTGGTTCGGATGCTGGAGTAGCTGCAGTTGCAATTTTTGGTGCGCCACAGCAGCACGGTCGGCGCCATGGCAAAGCGCAAATACTGTTAGCACCTCGGAGGAGCATGCATCAGGCAGCCGGTGGACGCCGCTGCACTCTTGTCCCATCATGCACGAGGCACGGACCCAGTTCAAGCAGAGATTCCGCGGGCTTGAAGCGAACGGGCAACTTGTCGGGTGCCGGCAGGATCTGTACCATTTCAAACATGGATGAACCTCGTCGCACCACGGGCGATCTTCCGCCTTCACGTGTATGCCCGCGAGGGCGGCCTTGATGGAGGTGCACTTCTCTTCTTCACACCCCCGAGCAGCAGTTCTATCGGATGAAGTTAATAGATGCATCTGCATCGAATTTTTATTGCGCGGGGACAAATTTGCTGGCGACGCACCCCCAGCAAAAGCAAACTTTTCACAGCTGTTGGACAAAGATGTGGATTCCTCAAACGCCAGTAGTTTGCTGGGCGTGACGTGTGTAGAGTCACAGCATCGGTCGAGAATACCAAAACTGACGGTATGTGGTTTCCGCTCAGGAGTTTTTCCCGGACTGGATGCGGCGTTGTTTGTCGTTGGCGCCACAAGTTCACCCCCACGAGTGCTGTCAGTACTCTCGTCCCGCCTCCTTCCTAACATGGTGGCGCGCCGAAGAGAAAAAAGAATGGCCTTGCTTTGAATGAAGCGAGCCGCCTCTTCGCTGCAGCTGCTCAGCTCGAGTAGCACCTGCAGTAATTCGTCCTTCTCAGCTGCTTTTAACTCATCCTCTAACGCACGACCCACGAGTTCCGTGGAAGAGTGCCCGTCGCCTTTGGAAGGACTGACGTCTGGCGAATAGACCATGGGGGAGTTGTAAAATGGTCTTTTTGTCCCAGTCGTTTGGCACCCCCGTGTGGTGGCCGGAGAGCCAGAGCCATTACCAAGCGAAGCGTTTTCCGAATACGGCGAAGGGGTTATCACGGCCACTTGCGTTGGCGTCACCCCTGCCTCCTCAGACAAAGTTGAGGATTTCAGATTCGAAAACACGGGGGCACGGATGTTACAGGTGGTATTAGACTTTAACTGATGGTGTGGATGGTTTGGAGTATGCAAGGACGTTGCCGGAAAAGGGAGGGAATTACCTACAGGTACCACTTTCTTCCTATGCTCTTGCGACGAGGAAGGTTCCGCCGCGTGCCCAATAATGCAATGATACAGCATAGAGTGGATGTGAGGCCGCAACAAAGGCGCAGACTGCGCATTTGAAGGTCTTGTATGCGCCAATAAATGTTCATTTTGCTGCTGCTGCTGGTGATGTTGGTGGTAATGACAATCATGTTGACTCAACTGTGGCGCTGTCCATGGAGTGTGTCGCCGCCGTGTTGCATTATTTCCACGCCGATGTTTAAGAGGATTCTCATGCAGAATACAATCTGCCTCTTCCGGCACAATCGCGATGGGAGAGGGAGCGCCGGGCATTATTATATCCTCTTCCCTTCTATGTTGTCCTGTACGTTCGAACAAGCTAAACAAATAATAAAACTACTCAAAAGTTTAATGCACGTGCCCAACGAGAACAATGCTACTTCCTCTCTTCACCCCCTTCCCTTTTCTACCACTCCTCCCTATTGCCTGGGGGAGAGAAGGAAAGAAATTTATTTTCACTGTATTTTTTTTTCCTTTGTTTTTTTGTTTCTATTGTAACTGACGCGTGCAGGGCCTTATGTACACACACACAGACGCACACGCACACGCACGGACGCAATAATCAAATAATAATAGGCGAGGCAAATCACACGAAGGTGAAGAATCAATATCCTTCCAAGGCAAAATAAAAGGGGGGAAAAAAAACGAGACAGAAAATAAAAGAAAGCACCTCCAACAGCGCACTTAGATCCCCCACCCACACACACACACACCTTCCCTCACTCGTCGCCTACAACACGGCGCCTCTTGAAAGAATGAAAAGAAGATGGGAAGCATCCATTTTTCCTTCTTTTTTTTCCTGGCCTTTACTTTCCTTTTTTTTCTTTTTTCCTTCCCAGCTAAGTTAGATGTAAATTCAATGGGAAACCACTTAGCTTGCCACAGTTGCTGTCCACGCGCGCATGTAAGTGAGCGTCACCGTCCTTCTTTCCTCCCTTTTCCTTCCCGGTCTCCCACTTTCCCGCACATACATGCTGCAGTAACCTCTCTTGCTTCAACTTTGGTTCCTTTATTGGCGTCCGGTTCACGCCGTGGCCGCCCCCTGCGTGGTCGCCTGTTTTGCACGCATCGTATCCACCAGCTGTCCGAGTTGTCCCCGCTTCGTCCGCAGCCTCTGCTCCAGAGACTCAATGTTTTCACGCACCGCGTCGGCGCGGGCGGCGAAGTACGACACGGCGGATGCCATCGGCTTCTCTAAAAAGTAGTCTGTTCCAACATCTACCAACACACGGTCGCTTGGCACGATACGACCTCTCGCGTAAAGGGCGCTGCTGATGCAGAGCAGCGCCTCCTGTGGCTTCTCTGGGCTCGCGCGGACCGTCTCGCAGACCTTTTGATACTCACCCAGCACCTCACAGTTGCTTGCAAAGCGATTCTGTGCACCAACAAGGCTTTCGTGGGCAACCGACAGGTTGTTCACATCCTCCTGCAGCTGCTTTCGCAGTTCCTCCAGCTGCTCAAGCGGAAGTTGGGCAATGTTAATAGCGCCACCGCCACCATTCTCCGCTGGTCGTCCACTCATCGTGTTGTATTCCTGTTGATTCGCTCTTTTACTTGAAGCTGCGGGGAAACGGGCACAACACTTTTATTTTTCAACCTTTTTCTTTTTTTCTTCTCCTTCCTCGCGTGTCCGCTTGCTCGTGAGGAGAAACGCAAATCCAAAACAAAACAAAAGGGAAGTTGTGGAGGTGGGCATAGGATATACAGGGGCATCTGTAAACGATCATGGGCTTCAGGCAGCCAAGAAAGAGGGCTGAAAGAGTGTACGTGTCGCAACTTCCCCCGTCAAGGGTGGTGATGACAGCGACGCAACAGCCAGCCTTGTCCCACAGCAACAGCAACAAATGTTCAGTCATTTGTCACACAACGCAACTTCATTTTATTTTCACTCATTTTCATTTTCCTTGCGGTGGAGCCACAAACCGCTGCAGATGTGCCGGTGGTGGCACGGGAAGTTCATTCCACTCCACTTGTGTGGCCGCGTCCGCCCGAATGGTTGGGGGAGAAAATTCCAGAATCGGCACTGTTAGCCGTTCAGAACCTTCACACTCTTCCACGTCCTCGTCACCCACCTCTTCAAGGTACGGCATACCCGGTATCAAATGCGGGTACTCGCCACGGGCATTAGGCACCGCCACCCGCGGCACTGTGTCGCCGGGAATAAGATAGTACAACAAACACGGCCGTTCAGGGACATACGGCAGCGTCGCGTGGTCCCAGCAACAACGACGCACAAGGGGCATCATGCATGCCCCCCCCCCTTTTTTTTTTCTTTACTGTCCCTCTTCCTTGGTATTTTGTGTGTGGAATGAGACACCCCGGATGAAAGAAAGCAAACAAAGAAACCGCACAGCGAGAGAAGTTGAATGGGCCAAACATGAATTGGCTAGAGTGAGTATGGAAGTGCAATGCATATCCACGGTGGCGTGGGAATGAAGTTTCGCGCACTTTATTGCTACGAGACAGCAGTACGGTTGAAAAATGTAAAACCGTTTTCGGACAGCTCTGTAAAGCTGCATTCAGGCTGAGAAAGGTTCTGTGCAGTGTGCAGGAAGCCACTCTCCCCCGTGGGCGTCTCACAACCACCACGTGCCCCCTCGAATTACGAAAGGAGCAGGTCACGCGTTGCGACTGATGGCTTCCAAACAGCCGGTTAGAACGAGGGCGCGGGGCCACAGGGCCAATGGCTCTGCCTGGCTTTATCGAAACTCCTCCTCTGGCAGAAACCCAATCACACACACATACATACAAGGATGCCGAAGGAACTGTGGAGGTTTACGAAGCACGCAGAGTTTCATCCGCCCCGCCGGTCTGCACCCCCCACACCTCCCAAGAAAAAAAAAAAAAGAAACGCAAAACAAAACCAAGACAAACAAAGCAACAACAACAGAAAGGGAGTCGCCTTGCGGAGATGCGATATAACAATAAACGCATCACCCCAAACGCTCGCTTTCCCATTGTTACACGCCCCACGCCGCCAGATTTACAAGGAACTAAAGAAGAAGGTGATTCCACATGTCCCCCGAGTCATGACAGTTGATAAATGTGCCTCTTCCCACGCACACACATTCCTTCATCCTTTTTCCTCCTCGAGGCTTTTCGTGCGGCACCAACACAACAGGGAGAAGCCTCTTTCCACAGGGGCAGTCTCAACCTGCATGAATCTTCATCCCCTTCAGAAAAAGAGAAAATCGTTATTCCCATGGGGAGTGAAGGTAAAAAAGCAAGAGAGAAGGCATTCCACCCCCGCCAAACATCCACAGCAGACGACACATGAAAGCATTGAAACTTAGTGAGACTCATTTAGCAGGTAAATTGCGGCCGTAGAAAAGTGCTACCGTCTGCTGAGCACCGCCTCCTACCCACCCACCCCTTCTCCACTTCTTCCTCGTCCTACTAATCCTTTTTATCCTCCTCTTCGCTTTCCTTCACTGCTTCTTTCTCATCCTTGTCTTCCGCAAATTCATCCTTCTCCGCGACGACTACATCAACAACTAAAGGGCTTTCACGCTTGATGCAGTTCTTGTCGTGAAATGCCCCGCTGAGCGCTTCAGGCGGGGCAAGAGTCGCCAACATCTCATCAAAGCCTCGGCTTATTGTTCGACCACGCGGAAATTGGGCTTGCTGCCCACACCCGCTGTTCACCCTGTAAATTTGATGGCTGATGCCAGCCTTGCCACTTTGCTCAGCCGCAGATGCCTGTGAACTCACCCCAGCCTTGTCAGCAACGTCCAAGCCGTCGGCATCAACGTTTGTTTCACCAACAAGAGTTTTCAGCCACACACGCGTCGTTGCCGCGTCGTACGCCCCGACATTTCCGGAGGCTTGTGGGGCCGCACTGCCGTCTGTGACGTCAGCCGCCGCTTCCTTCTCTGCATCAAACTCGTCGGTGTTGTTGATTTCGGCGTCCCCGAGGTTGCGATAGCGCTGCCACCGCTTCTTGTGCTTCTCCGCCTCATCAAGGATAGGGTCAAACTTCTCCGCCGGCTTCGACACATCAAGCAAAGCAACTTTATTGTCGGTAGCATCTCCCTCAAGGCGTTTTCTATCCGTCAACCACTCTCCGCCGCCAATGGCTCGGTCTATCTCAGGAGTATCCACGTCCCCTGAATGCCGTGAGCCCCACAGCTTTATTTTCCTCGCAAGACAACGGTATCGGTACTTACGGCAGCAACGAATCAATATGTACATCAAAAAGCCAGCAGGAAAAATAAGCAAAAGCAACAAGAGAAGAAGAAGACGGTCGGAATCATCCTTCTTGTCGTGCTTGGGAGGATCGGCGGTGGCGAGAGAGAGAGCATAACGCTGCCCTTGCAGCGGGTCCATAACTACAAAAGGAACCGTCACTCTTTTGTTTAAAGACCAACACACAGGGAAAAGTTTGAATGGAAAGTGGCAAAACAACATGCATCACACGCATGCGAAGAATTCTCACACAAACAAACAAACACACACACACACACACAACAATCCCCCTATTCACATAAACAAAGCAAAGCGGCAACAATGATATGGGCAAGCAAACAAAACAAAAAACGTGCAACAGCCTTCGTTTTTCCTCCCCCATCAGAGTTAGGAAGATTGTTGCTTTGCCGCGTATTGCCCTCACCTTATCATCCAGAAGGAGGCTGGTATGAAAACACAAAGCATCACTACTTGCAAAATAAGTGAGCTTTTTGAACAAACGACGCACCAACACACATGGACCACAACCGTATCCCACCGCACCCCGCCATGCAGGCAACATGTGATAGACCCCACACCCTCATTGTCGGTTTCATGTGGCGCCGATGACGATAAGAATGGAAACTTAGCTCATCACGCAAAAACCACTTATCCTCCAGGTACTCTGTCATATGGAAGAGCCACACTGCTTGCTGGCGGTCATTCAGAAGCAATGCCACAGAAAGACTACGGTGAGAATTCCTTTTGCAGCAACGCGGTTGCTGCCGCCATGGTCTCTCGCATCACAGTAGTAAATGCCCTTTTGCTATCTGTGTTGGGAGAAACGGGAAATGAGGTGGAACCCAAAGTAGCCGTCGGCAAGGAAAGAAACCTGGCAGAAGAGGCTGCGACGTCACGGCAAGAAGCCACAGCGTCGTTTGCCGCAACTACCGGTACATTGCCTGCGGGCGCAGAGTCCGTGGTGTGTTCGCGCAAGCCACCCCTATAATTGTACTCAGAAAAATTCGTGTCTCGAAGGGTGCACCGCAGTCCACAGTCGGTTTTCTCAACCCCCCCATGATGTTTGCGACAACGAGGCAGAGCGGAGAAAAAAATAGGATCCTGATTGTGCCCATATGCATTATCTAACACCACCTGCTTTCGTCGTTCCAGTGCCTCCTCCAGACGCAACTCCAACTGCCGCAACTGGTCAACCCTCGCATGACGCTCCATTTTGATGTGTGTCTGGGTTTCTTGCTCCTGCATAAAGAGCTTCTGCTGGTTCCATGTCACCTGCTGCTCCATGCGATGAACACGTTGAAGCAGCTCCGCCTCTTCTTTCCCAAGATTGCGAATACTGACCGTAAGCGTATCGCGCTCCTCCTCGGCCAACTGTGCCACATGCGACTCAAATTCTCGCATACGCGCTGCATGTTGCCTCTTATTTTGTTCAACCTGCAAGGTTATCATCACCTGCATCAGCAAAGTGCGGCGTGCATGATCTTCACACATGTAGAGTTTTTGCCTTGACACGTCTTCCTTTAACCACAGCGCCACATGCTCGACAAGCAGCCGTCCACGTAGCTCCGCCTCAAAAGAATATGAGAGAGCAACACACGTTATCTCATCGTCGTCTCCAACTCTGGTGCTGCCAACATGACCCACTGGTTTCACACCCGGGGAGAGGGTTGTTTCCAGCGCTGTACCAATAATATACATCGCCTGCTTCCGTACCACAGACTCAGTTTCGTTGGTCGCCCCCGCTTTCGACGTTATGACACTCCTATGTGACCGCCGTTCCTCTGGGGACTTCATGGGCGTCGAGGAAGCCCCCTTCGTCTCTAGCGGCATCTGCTCAGTCCACGGAAATGCCTCATCCCTCACCGCGCCCAACCCCTCAGCGGATGCAGCAAGTGGCCCACGCCTTTTAAACGTATCCACCACCTGCTGACGAAACAATGAAGCCCCTTCTAAGGGAATATTGTATTGGTGCCCCGTCGAGGCTGTGCAGGAGACAACGGCCATTGTAGCGGCGGAAACGAAACTTGTGTCGGGCAACCTCCTTGACAAGGTAAATACATCACTTCGATCCTTTTGCGGGCTCATCAGAAGAAGCCTGCCGTGCTTTGCGGGAGATGCCGTTTTCGGCGAGGCAGAAGCTGCCGGCAAGAGGCCGCTGGGTTGCCACGGAGAAGTTGGTGTTTCCTCCTCAAATTCTGCCTCCTCTTTCCCTCGGTTGCTCTTGCGCGGCCAATCCTGCTTATTGGGTTGCGGACCCGCGGGAGCACCGGAAGCCGCCAGCCCGTCACCCCTCCGAGACCGCCTCTGCGAGGCGACAATGGGCGATGTGTATACAAACGATCCATCGTGCGGCGAAAACACGGTGCCGCCGCTCCCATGCATTCGCCCTCCCGCTGAAGCAACTCACCAGCAACACCATTCAGTCAAATGGAAGCAAAAGAAGAAAAGAGAACATCATAAATAAAGTGTAAACGTGGGCGGAAAAAAAAAGGCACACACGCAAACACATTTAGCCGACACTGGGCAGCTGTAGCGCCCCAAGTACCTCGTTTTTCCATCGGGAGTGACGCCGCATCGCAAGTCATACACCACACACACACACACACTCGTAAGCACAAGCACATCCGCCGTAGCAGAAGCAAACAAAAACTAGTACGCCAAATAAAAAAAAAAAAAAACAAGCACATGAAAAAGTTGCACCGGGAAAAATCACCAGCGTGAGACAGCCTCATCATTGATAGGGCGATGCCAAGCTTGTCCTGTTTCCTGCAGTCTCCGTTGCATTTTTTCTCTGTCTCCTATTTTGGCTCGTGTCCACATGGCTTCCGCTACATGTTTATTGTCAAGATACGCCATCCAGTTCTTCTTCAACAAGCGTCCCTCATCCATGGGCGTATAGGGTGCAGTCAAATCCATTGGCAAGGTTACCTTCTTTGCACCCGGTGCACCACGCGGACGATACTGCGGACCATGCAGCGCAAAGTACCTCTTGCCACGCAGCGTCAAAGCCCAAGACTTACCTTGCGGACTATTTAGCCACTTCTTCTCCCACTCCTGGCGAGCGCAAACCTCATCCACCGGAAGGTACGCCTTGGCCGCTGGAATGGTGCGATGCGTCATCGGAGTAAGGCCTTGACCCATCTGCAGCGTCCCACCAATCGTTTCTACAGAGTCTTCTGGGACCGTGTAAAACTCGGGGTTGTCACGAATTCCCATAACAATCGGTTTTAGGTCCTTTAGAAATTGTTTGTAAATGTTCATCTCGGCCTGTTCCATCAGACGTCGGCCGTGAGCACACGCATCCGCATAGGCAGCCAGGACAAGCTGTTGCTGCTGGTATGACGACAGTTCCGCCACGCACGGGTTTACCCGCACGCGCTTCAGGAATCCCGCCGGCGTTGTGACAACTTCTACCCGACCCTCCCACGCGCGGCCCACCACCTCCATGCGGTCAAACCGAATCTGATGCTCGTACTTGTTATTGTAAACGTATGCTAAAATGCGGTGAAACTGCCGTTCCGGCATAAGGCGGCCGTGATGCGCCCATAGAGCCCCACGCACACGCTCGGTAATACGTCGATACACTTCCATCTGAGATTGTTGTTCCTCCCACAGACGCCAACACCCTTGAAAATAAAAATAAAAACAACAACAAAAAGACATAAAGACAAGGCGGAATAATAACGGCAACAACAACAGCAATAAACAGTCTACTAAAGACATCACAAATGCATAGCATTTCCATCTTGCCTCCCCAACTTCACCCCCATCGCCCTTCTTCCCTTTCCTGTGTGTATGTCAGTACCGCAACCGTCATCACGAGAGTGGTGCTAGATCCTCCTCCCCCAGGGTTGCGGGATCCTCACGGTAACGCGCCTCCAACTCCACGTCGGGCTCCATGTAGCCAGATTGTGTTACCACATACGTGAGCCTGGAAGGCGCGAAGCGCTCTGACTCCTCGTCACCACACAGTCGCTGTCGCAGCACACGCTCCATGTACTCCAACTCCTGAATGGCTCGGTAAGAGGTGCAAAACAAACCTTGTCTCATATTCCTCCGTCCATACCTGCTGCCACTCTAGAGTGTAGGCAGGATCATCCTCTGGTCATGCACTGCGAAGAGAGTGGACCACCTCTGCGACGAGCAAGCCACCCAGGCTGTGCTGACCCTTTTTATTCCCAAAAGAGGAGGTGCCATGTAATGCAGAGGTAACCCTGGCGTCGACATCGATGAAGTCCAATTTCCTCGTCGACACCGCCGTCCGTTTCTTTAAGCACACCAGCGATTTACTGCCACTTTACGTATTTCACCTTCTTGCGCCACCAGCGCAAAAGAATTGGTACACCGCGCAATTAACTTACCGAGCAATACCGCCATACCGCACAAGCTCCGTCGCAAGGAGAGTGGGAAACACTAGAAACTGTGAGACCCAATTCATGGGAAACTGTATTTTTTTTCTTTTTAAACAGGCATTTAATCCTGTGCTTCCTCGTCATTCCCACGACTGTGGCCGCCACCACTATCCATGCAGTGCGCCATCTCCTGCAGCCTTGTCACGATATCGTTCTCCCATCCCATGGCAGTGAAGACCAGGCAGCAAGCATGCCCTTCCCGAAGAGCTTTCAGAAGATGTTGATGCAGCATCCCACTGCAGCGCGAAAGCGTCGCCGCCGGCCCAAATGGTAGGGATCAGAGGAGCCACAAAAGGTTCGATGACCGCAAGATGTCATCCGAATGGCGCAAGAACCGTCGAACCTCCCGCAAAAACACCACCTGACGGGGTACTCCATCGTCTACTTTCAACAGAACGAACAGTTGCTGTTGCCGCCTCCAACTGTGCCTTGCAATAGAAAGACCAATCCCTTCAGCCCCCTGTCCAAGCCGTGAGCCCACCACCACCACATCTACTCGCCCCTCCAGCCACGGCAAACTGAACTTGTCTTGCGTGTCAGCAAAGTGGACCACAACATCTGCCGCCTCGCAGTGTGTGAGCGATAATTCCCGTGACGAGGAGCCGGGAACGGTGACGATCCTCGCCGACACAAAAAAAAAAAAAACTCGCATCTGCAACGCGTAGCACTGCCTCGTCCACGCCCGTAAATGACTGTGAGAGAAATTGGGTGTCATCGCCGAGTGAAACATGTGTTTTTCCACAATTTGTCAGCTCCAAACGTTGAGGCCCCAAACGGTTCCCCGGCCTTTTGTCTTCCGACGGCGGGGACCGTAAGATGGCATCCAAAACGGAGTTTTCCTCCTCGTCACCGTTTCCCTTCATACCCTCGCCGCCTTGCTGAAACCAACTGTGCAGCGCACGCAGCGTCTGCACATCACCCCAACCTCGACTCCAAGCCCAAAGCCACGGTAGCATCTTTGTTTTCCAGACAGCAGAGCTGCCAAGAAACATAACATGCAGTGGTTCATCACGAAGCAATGCGGCAGAAGCAACAAAAAGAAGCGGGTGACACCGACCAGCCGCCTCTTTCAAAAAAGTTCGCTTCTTCCCTCATCTCTTCCGGGAGCAAGAGGGAGGGCACAAAACACACCCCGCTACTGAATCAGGGGCAGGTGAGACTTCCAAGAAGGAAACGGCAACTTTTTGGACTCGTGGGCGAAGTTAATGCAACCCGTGAGTCACAAGAAGATCGTGAGCGAATGTCACAACTGTGAAAATGTCGCCTCAACTGCGTCATTATGGAGGCTTGTTACAAGAGCGTCAAGGAGACATACACAGGCAGAAAAAAGGCGCTAGAGAACACTACAGACGGAACGGCCGCAAGCCCACGAGAATCGAGATCTGCGGCGGGGCACCATACTTCATCCGCGATGTCTGAAGGAACAACACGAAGCCACCAAGAGAGGCCTCCCCCTTAATGCACCAACGGCTCATCCTCCAGAAGAACCCTCAGCACCACAGCAGCGACATCATGTAGCGACGGTGTTGTGAACTAAGCAAATATTATCTCCTCGACCCCCTCTCACGGGGTGCCGCGACTGAGGTGACGTGCACACGTGATGAGGGCGACGTCATAGCCTGCGAGTCGAGGGGAAAACCCTTCATCTGGCGGTGGAATCCACCGCCTCCAGCACGACCCTTGGTGATCCACAAAGTGCAATGTTCACCCCGTAGTGCTCTGTTCCGATGCGTCGTCAGCAAAGAGCACAAAACGCGAGGCAACATCGACAAGAAAGGTGAAACATAGCCGCGGGGACCCCCACAACAGACCACGATCATCGGACAGCGCTGCGCTCACCCACCTCTCCCTCCACAGAGCCCGCCAGCAGCAGCGCCCGCATCGTTCCCTCCACGCTCAATGGGCCCCATCCAGTGCATGCTGGCATCAACACATATATGCACACTCACACAAGCCACTGGAATCCTCCTCTTTACTACGTTGCCCCGCTTCTACGCACAAAAAAAAAAAGGAGAGGGGGGGGCAAAACAGAAATCCCCTTTAGCGTCACGTCCACCGATACCCCATCACTCACACTCCTACAACAGGCACAGACATACATACATCCAGAAACCAACAAGAAAAGTGTGAAGCAAATTCCAAACGATCAGATCACCGGCCCTTCACACGGGACGTCGGCCAATACGTTGCTCTCTCCCCATACCTTTTCCATAACCCGACCGGCATCGAGCGGTACGATATTTTGGCGGTGCTATTGAGATGCATCTGTTTCTGAGAGCGCAGCGTCTCCGCTTGCCGAATCTCGTTCATGTACTTGGCAGCCGTTACTTCGCCTTCAAAGCTCTCAAAGCCCTCCGTGACGCTTCCAGAATTGCGAAGATACGCCTGTAGTTCCTTCTTTGTCATCCCTCTCATCGCCGCCTCCTGCTTGACACGCTCTCTCTCTTTTCGCAACACGTCCAGTGCCGTCCACGGTGACGTAGGGCGAACTGCCACAGCCTGCTGCACGAACTGACGGGCAGCCCACTGTGAGCGCCGCTTTTCCACCTCACAAGGTTCCACAAGCGAAGGGCCAAACTTTTTTCCCGCCTTGTACTCCGCAATTCGGCCGTCCTTCTCCTCAACAAGAAAACGAGTGACAGATCTCATATGGAGACGTTCACGCCACCTCGTCTCCTTGGCACACCGCCGCTTATCCCAACCCACCGGTGCAGCCTGCTTTGCATAATCGTCCAGAAGTCCTAAAAACTGAGAGACTCCGCCGCTCGTTTGTTGATGCACAGTTGGACTTTTGCTTCCTTCACACAATCCAATCACAGCAGAGGGCGACGCTGTCCCGGTTGACGTCGTCGTCATTACAGTTTCATCCTTCATTTCCCTGTCCCCCACCGGAGTGACTGAGCCAGTAGAGCCCATATTATTGTTTCCCCCCTCTGTTAGATATGTGAGGTTCTTTTGCGCTGCCACAACACAGTCGCTTTTCGCATCATTACCACTGACGCCAGTTTCCATGTACGGCAATTCAAGCCACTCTGCATCAGGTCTTTCAAGTCCTGTATTAAGCCGAAAGGTTCCGTAATCAGACGTATGCCGTTGAAGCGGATGGGTGTGACGCCACGCTAAGAAGCGTTGTCGTCGTCTCACCTTCTCATTCTCGTTCATGCCAAAAGGGTGATTCAGGTTAGGGACGATGTCGTTATTATTCTGCCTGTTCCAGTCATCTGAAGGAAACGCCAACAACGGCTCGTCAGCCGGTGTGCGCACGTGAGCATCCATGGCTGTCGCATCACTGCCATTCAGAGGAAGTACGTATTTTTGCGGTTTCATTGGTGGCGGGGGCGACGGTGCATTACCTACAGAAGAACCCAGCGCATTGTAATATTTTTCCTCTTTCAATGCTGTAAAGAACGCCTTCGCTTCCTGCGTTCCCACCCGGTGGGCCTCTTGTACGCGCCTTGCTTCCTCCTTCAACGCCGCCTCCATATCCGCGTCTGCCTTCGTCTTCAACAGCTGTCGCAGCCGATCACCTGGGATGAGGCCGGAGGTTTCCGCAATCAAACCGCGGAGAAACTCAATGTTGGTGCCGTCCCTCGCAGAGGTGGGAATGATAAAGGGAAACACCTTTCGGTACTTGCGGCGGTTCTTGGTGATGGTGGCGTAAATCTGCCGCATGACAGAACACACGCGCGAGTGTGGCACGGAGTCGCACTTTGTCAAGACTATAAAAAACACCCCGTGAAGGTTTTCAAGCCACGAAAAGTAGCGCAAATCCACCTTTGTGAGTCCACGTTCACAGTCAATGCAGAAAAGCACTGTATTCACTGAGCGCCGCACACCCAGGTAGGCGTCTGTGAGCGCAATTGCCTTGTCACGCCACTGATCCGACATTCCCTCAATGCCGAAGCCAGGGACATCTACAAATGTTAACTGCACCCCGCCGCCAGGAAGCTTCACCAGGCCGTTGCCCTTCACATTAAGGTATCGTTGCATCTCCTCCGGTGAGACACTCTGGTAAAAAGAAATTTGTCGCGTTGTGTTCGGTTGACTACTTGTCTTGGCTACTGGCTGCCCTAGCAGCGCATTCAACATACTCGACTTTCCCGCACAAGCCTTGCCGACCAGGACAATTTCTTGATACAAATCGTTTAGCTCAAAAAAAAAATTGTGATTATCATACAGCGTTGGTTTTCGTCGTGTTCGCCGTTGTTGTCCCCCGACCGTGGTGGAAGCGGTATCCGTCTCATCCCGCATCATGCCTGCCCGTCGCACCAGTGTGTAATGCTGGCCCAGCATAACTTTGTTTCCAAGTTGTTTGGCTTCATCCGTTATTTTCCCAAAGCTCAAAGGCGGTGGTGGGACCAGCTTGTCCTTGTACGTGTAATCCGACGGGTTGGGATGCGTCAAGTCATACAGCACACGACGCCGCTGAGCAATAAGCCGTTTCCGTTCTTGTTTGAAGGCATCGGTCACCAAATCAATCACGTCTGACCCAACCCCACGTGCCGCTGGGTGATGCTCCGAGAGCTTCCCCCGCTCTGCTGAGACGGCCACGCCAGAGAGTTGCTTTGCGTGGACGCCATCTAACACAATGTCCTCATCCACAGCATCCGCAGTGATGCACAGGGCATCCGCGGTGGGATGTGGCTCCAACTCCAGCAATGCCTGCTGTGTCGCGTGACGTGACCCCCTCGATGGGGCTGCCGGTAGTACGGCAAGGGATGTGCCGTCCATCACTTTGCGTGCCGCAGACTGCTGCTGGAAGTAACGTGGAGAACGTCCGGGCGGTACCCGCCCAAGCAGTTCGAAGGTGACGGAAGAGGCACACCGCCATACCGACGGACCTACACGCATCCACGCCTCTGTGCTGCCGCTCCCCTGTCGAGGCGGATGATTCCTAAAGTAACAACAAAAGAGCAAAAAAAAAACACAAACACGCGCGCACACACACAAACAAATGTTCATTACATGCACCCATGCAAGCAGGTGTACACGTTGCCCATGTAACCCGCGCTCAACTACAGAGAAAGAGAGAGAGAGAGCGATCAACAACACTCACGCGTAGGCGCGTCCAGCGCCTATTTTTAATCATACGCTTTGTGTACGCAGGCACCGATAGAACTCAACACCGGGCTAACATAACTCAAGCCGTGAATTCTTCTTATCACCACCTAAAGCGCATTCACAAGAATCAAAGAAAAAAAAACTCATCCTCCTCTTCCTTTTATTCTTGAAGTGTATTTTTCCCTTTTTTTTCTTTTTGCTTCTTCTCCTGCCTATTTGTTTGTTTGTTTGTTTTTTGCTTTTTTTTTCACCTTTTCCTTCAACGTTTTGTTTTTCACTAATAATCATTGTTGTGTCTTCCCCCACCGCCTCCTCCCACCCCGCTCCCCAGGTGTCGCTGAAACAGAAAACGACGAGCACACATGCAAGGCTAACGCCAATATGTATGCAAGCATGCATACCATACCTGCATGTGTGCTCAATCAGCCTTGTCCCGTCTTCTCCTCCCACCTTTGCACCATCTTGCTTCTTACACCGCCGCCACGCAGTCGCACAGACACACACGCGACTAAAGGAAAAGGTGATAAAGGAAGAAACATAGAAATCATGCGCGCAAGTGGGAAAGGTGGAACAAATGAGATAGCTCAGCGGAGAAAGACGGGTACGAGGGGATGACAGCTAACACACAAAGGAAGAAGCAAGTGGGAGACACATAAAAACAACAAACCAAGACAAACATGTATAACGATAAATACATACACACATATACATGTGTAAAAAGACAGAAAACAAAGCATGTAGCAGAGAGAACATGTCACGGACGGGAGCGTAAAACGCCCTTAGCATTGGTCTGGACATGAGTGCGTCTAGAAGACTCCCACTCAGTCATTCTCTGCCACGCTCACACCTCTTCTCACTTCAGTGGGGGCTGTTGCTCCTTACAAGAGAAAGAGGGAGAATGAGATTGTTGAACGTGGTGTCACAAGAAAAATATTCACCACTAAGGGAGTTAAAAAGGAGCAGTAGATGCATAACTATTGGGGAGGACAACACAAACACCACAATAGCATGTTGGCAAAACAAAAAGTTTGTAGAACCAAACAAAAAACAAAAACACTTTAAAAAAAAAAAAAAAAATCAAAAATCAAAAATCAAAACGCTTCTCCCGGCAGAACGCCTAAACGCAGTTACCTCGTACTGCCGTTTGTATTTTTGGTTTCTTAAAGGTTGTTCTTGTTTTTTTTTTCCTTCTTGTCTCCACCATCGTGTGTGTGTGTGTGTGTGTGGAATGGAGGTGTCCGCGAATTTCAATTGGCCTTGCCACCGGGCCCTTTTAGAGCGGCATATATCATCATCACAGGAGGGAAACAAAATACATGCGGTGTCGTGTATACATGTACTCCACTCTCATCCGCCCCCCGTGTATGCAGGCATGCGGACCTCAGTTTCTCCAATTTCTTCACCTTCCCTCTGCCTGCCGCACCACATGCCTTCAGATCCATCCACTTCCTTCTCCTCCCACGAGTTCCCACTTCTTTCCTTCCTCCCGGGTCTCGCACGTGCGGCTCTTTATTCATTCCATCACCTTCACCCTCTCACTACTCTTAATCTCTTCCTTCCTTACCGGCGTCCATTCACCCCCCCCCCCCCCCCTGCAAGAACTGCTTATGTGAGTCACGTTTTTGCGTATTCTGTATGCTTTTACCAAAAATGCATGCATCAAATGAGTTTGCTTTTCTTTCTTTTCTTTCCTTCTGGTGGAAAGCGGCAGCACATTGCCAGTCAAGATGGCTCCCCTACTTTGATCCATTTATATACGCTTCCTTCAGGAAATCAATACATAAGTTTTTTTTAAAAAAAAAATTCAACTCTCCTTTTCTCTTGTCAAACTCCTTATTTTTCTCCTCTTTAATATTCTCTTGCTTTTTTTTTATTTGCTTTCCTCTCTGCCTGTATCTCAACGTAAGTGTAACGAGCACACGTCAGTTAATTGTATACATCTCTCCTTAACACGGAACTCCGCCGCTAACGGCGGCTCGCACCCATCCGGCGACGCATTCTTGTCGTACGCTCAATCTAGTCTTTGCCTTTGTGAGCGGCCTCCTCCAATACACGTCTCCCTCGACCCTCACACATATTCTCTGTCCCTTAAATTTCTCATACATTTTTTTTTTTGTGTGGAAGACAATAATTTTGTATACAACCCCCCAGAAGAGTGAGACGCTCCTATTCCTGTCACTCATCTTTGCCTCACAACAACCGCGACGTAACACTTACACCATTTAAACCTTCACAAAATACATGCAATTCATGCCACAACCTTTTTAATTTTTCTTCCACCAAGCAGCCCTCCCCGTTCACTTTCATTCCTCACACCCACCAACTCCCTACTACACAAGCTGGGGGCAAACATTACGTTCCTACCACGGCGAAGTTTAGGCCGCTGCATCCACATGGTCATCATCCATACAAGCATCAAGCAAACTCCTCGCGGTGGCGTACACGAGCGTAGATCAACACCTGTTGAAGGTCATGCTTGAGGTCCTTAAGCTCCTCGTTCTCATGCTCAAAACACTCGCGTAACTCACGTGCCTCCTTGCCGTTGTCTTCAGCCACCTCCAGTTGTTCCTGTAGCTCACTCTGCTCCTTGGCATAGCTGCGCTTGTTATCCTCCAACTCACGCTTGGCACTCTCCACCCACTCCGTCAGCTCTTTCCACTCTTCCTTCAGCGCAGCAACGTCTCCAAACTGTCTTGACTCATCATTGTACACACGGCCTCTCAACGCCTCCCGCTCCTTCTGTGAGGACATCAGACGCCCCTTCACGTACGTGCCACGATGGAAGTGGTGCCGCTGGTCATCATTCAGCTGCTTCAGTCGGGAGCGGGTTTCGACAAGCTTCGACATCTCCTCCTC